CTCGTCGAAATTACAGTTGACAATTGCAGGATTTCTATTGTGCGATTAACAGTTTGAAAAGTTCGTGAGAAACAAAATAAGGGGCAAAGAAGTCTGCTCAAAAATCCTAGAGAACTGAAAGAACACTGAAAATCGCAATTGAAATCGATCGATGGCAAATTTCCGAGTAAGTTAAAATTTAAACTATGACCTTCGCCAGAAGGAATGCGTGAACGTGATCCTCGTGCACAGAGAGGCTGGCGAAAGTATTGGACGAGGCAGGCTGACTCACGACGAAATTTTATCTTCGCCGGCGATTTGCCAAATATCGAATGGGCCGTTTGTTCGAGCAGCTTTCTCCCGAGCCGAAGCGATACTTCCGCTCTTCGATTCCTCTTGCTTGGCGGCTCATGTTGATTGCCAAGGAAAATTCGTTTAGATGCGGTTAACCTCATGGTGTACACACGCACACACAAACGTTGCGTCGCGTTTCTATCGATCACTTGTTAACCCTCTAGCAGAGTTTACAATGGTTGATGGCTTATGCAACATTTTAATCTCGGCTTTTGTCGATGTCAAACCGATATCGTTTTTCTTTTTCCCTATTCTCCGACAGGAAAGCGAATCTTGAAGTCTTAAAGCATCACTGTTGTCGATCGATATCATCGTTATCGAAGACTGTCTTTTCATATCCATCTGGTCATCGTTTTCAAAATTTGGGACATATCATTCTCTAACTGTATTTATTCTAATTTCTACTGTTAATCGGTGCCACGTTGAAACTCGAATTCGCGGTCATCGACTAGTGAGATTTCTCGTCCTGAACGCGGATCGAAAAGTTCGAGGAAAAGAGAAGCCCGCGCGTCCCGTCGTTCACCAGTTTGAAGAGTGCTCGAGACATCTCGCGATTGTATATTTATGAACGTCGCAGAGAACGTGTAGTGGTGTTCCTTCAATTGGTCTCGTTTCACAAAGATATTCGCCAGGTTTTACACTGATCGTGCCTTAAATCTCGCTTACAAACGTCGCGCCCGATAATCTTCTGAATTTCCCTCGTAAAAAAATCTGCGTGTCGCCCGTGGTTTCTTCGTTTCTAGCTTTGTACCAGGTGCCATAATCATCACGTTTGCCTTTGATTTGAGCACGTCGTGCTGCGAGGAACATTTGTGTAATTGTTGTAATTGGCCGATTTCCCGATTTCGATCAATTCTTTGCGTAGTTGTTCCTTTCGATTCGTTCGAAGAATTACGGAAAGAAAACATAACTATAAGTCACATGTTTCTTTGTTTTCCGACAATGTCCCTGTGGAAGTCGACTGAAAGTCGCCCAGCTTGTAACATTTCCTGAGGATTTCCTGAATTGAAACGTGTGTCAATTGTTTTTCAGTATTGCCCTCTTGGTTAGTTACACATCAAGGTGCAGCGAGAATCTCTCATTTCGAATGAAAAATAGGAACGTGGGGAACGAGGCGAGCGCGCAACGTTTGAAAGTCGCGAGGATGCAAAAAACAGGGAAGCTGGATGCTTTCGCTTACGGAAAATACCTGTCTCGCTCGGTTTCTATTTGCAAGTATCGTTTTCTTTTTTTTTTTTTTTTTTTCTTTCATTTCCACAAAAATGCTCGAACGAATTGTTATTTATCTCGCGTAGAGAGTGGCTCGGAAATCGGCCGACGATCAAAAGTCCGAGCCTATTCGCGAGATGTGCACGATCCCTATTTCTAATAGCGCGCACGTGTGTTGTTTAGGTTGCAGCGAGGACGAGGCAGCAGGTGTCGTGAACGCGGAGGTGGGCGGAGGTTGCGCGACCGGGGCGCCAACCACAGGAAGTGGCGTTGGAGGTGGTAGCGGGACAGGTAGCGAGGCCGGTGGTGGTGGCGGAGGCGGTGGTGGAGCAGGAGCAGGAACAGAAGGAGGCGGAGGTGGTGGTGGCGGTGGCGGCGAGGGCGGATCGACGAAGCAGGGTGGCGAGAGGTGTCCCCAGTGCGGCTTCCTCTGTCGGGACGTCCACGTGCTTCAGCTCCATCTCGAGGACACGCACAAGACCTCGTACGCCATCGACAAGAACGATCTCAACGCTCAATTCCCTCAAGTGGTGAGTGAAACTAACGTCAAGGACGAGGAGGACTCCATTGTTCCTTGTGTGTTATCGATCACGCGCCACCAGCCTGCGGATTCTCCCCCCTCTCTCTCTCTCTCTCTCTCTCTCTCTCTCTCTCTTGCTTTCTTTGGTTTGGAATTTTTTTTTTCTCCCTTTTTCTTGTAATTCTCTTTTTCAGCCTGTTGCCTGCTATGTTTAAATGTTTAAATTGAATCGTTCAATGTAGAGGTAGGCTTTTAAATAGGCGCAGCATAATTTTATTACGACACGCGAATTACACTTCGATTGTTCGAACTAAATCTGATTAAATGAACCTCTTGCACGCTGAACGAGCTTGAGAATAAGGGAGGAAATTGAGTTTTTCAAAGTTGATGATGTAGATATATTCGTTTATTGGATTTATTTCTTTCGCTGATGTAGCACGCTGAACAGCATGATTCATCATCGTTGAGTTCTATGTAAAACAATATTAACCGTCGCACCTGTGTAATTATAAGATTCAAAGTAGCTCGTTCATCGCGATTAAGCTTGCCTTTGTTTCTTTTTACGCAGTCGACAACTGCGAAGTTTTATTTTAATCACATTGAAGTTTGCTCCTTTAAATTCAATTTCGTTTTTTTTTTTCTTTTTTAGATATCTTGGTCAATGAAAATTCAAATGGGTCATAATTATACAATAATAATGATAATTAAATAAAATAGTGAAATGATAGACGTAGCGTGATGATTAAATAGATGAAACAATGTCGTTCTTATTTGTGACAATAATCATTCAATTAAAAGATGAGAATTTCGCAATTAGGTGATGAAATTAACCGATCAATTTTGTTGCAGTCCTGCAAGGTGTGCAGCAAGACTTTTGCTAACGTCTACCGACTCCAGAGGCACATGATCAGCCATGATGAGAGTGCCGTGCTTCGTAAGTTTAAGTGTCCCCATTGCGAGAAAGCCTTCAAGTTTAAGCATCACCTCAAGGTACTACGAGTGCACCCTTATTTTTCATTTCTCATTCGTACATCGTTATTTCCGTTTTCTTTCTTCTTTGCTTTTCTTTTCACGATCTATTCTCACACAGCACTGCCTGACTTTTTTTTTTTTTTTTTTTTGGATATAGTTTTCTCCTGTGACCGAGACGAATGAATTTCTTCCAAATAGAATTTCTTTCTTTCTTTTTCTTTTTTTTTTTTGCGAAAAACGAAAAAGAAACGTTATGTAGAGATTATGCATCGATCGACGTATTTGCACCGGAACGAAAATTCCTTGGAAATTAATTTCATTTAATTTTAGTTGATAGATGTTAGTCTACGCTGGACCGCGACCGTTTATGCGAATTTATAACTTTGTTAGCAAAAAAAGTACAGATACAAAATTCACATCAAAGAGTAGATTTCGTTTATTAAACGTTATAACTTTATTTAGAGTATTTTCTACAACTGTATGTAAACTTGATTAATTTTGTATCTCGACTGCCTTAACGTTTATTATATCACTGAAATCGAAGGAAATAAATAGTATGGAAATGAATAGTAATATTTCTGTCCCGACAGACGCATAAAAATTCGCGGTCTAGCCACTGCACTGTGCGAACCATTTCTCTTCTCCACGCCACCCTTATCTTTTAATTTCGATGTTTATTTTCCCGTTTGTCCCCAGGAGCACCTTCGCATTCACAGCGGTGAAAAGCCATTCCAATGCAACAACTGCGGCAAACGTTTCTCCCATTCGGGCTCGTATTCGAGTCACATGACCTCGAAGAAGTGCCTGATAGTGAACTTAAAGAAATCCAGGCACACGAATGTGAGCAACGTGGACCGCGGGCCGAAAAAGGCGCAACAACCCCTGCCGCCGGGGCGGCGCGAGGTCGATCTGCTCGCGGCGAATAATAACACTTTCCTCCCCATTCTGCCGAAGCTTTCACCCTCGGATTATCAGGAGATACAACGGGAAGGCACGGGTGAGGGTCGATAACGCCATTCTATTCTCACCGCAATCCTCTCTGTCTCTCTTTCTCTCTCTCTCTCTCGTGCACCTTGAACGATCCTGCCACTCTGTGAACTCGATTCGTAATCGAACGCTTTGTAGCAGCAAGGCAGAGAATTCTACTTTCTGTTCTATTTGGAGTTTGTGTCATTCACTGTTATGCAGTTATATCGAGTCGTCGCCGATTGATTTTGGAATTTCTAGAGATTTATTTGAATTAGAATCAGATTGCGAGGGGAATTTTACTGCTACTTCAACCGTTAACACGTTCCGTGCCAAGCGATTTTTGCCTTTTGTTGTCGTTCAGGCCATGTCAAAAATGTTGTAGAAAGCACACATTGTAATTTAACACGTTCCGTGTCAAGCGATTTTTGCCTTTTGTTGTCGTTCAGGCCATTTGATTACATCATCAATCGATAAGTAGTTCTCTTGTTTAGAGTAGCTATCACATCCTGTAAATATTACCACTTGTGGTAATATTATTAGAAATATGCTGGTACACGTGGCCTGGTACCGCTCATTTTTTTGGTAGAAATATATTTTACAGAATTACATTTGTCATAAAATATATGTTTTCAACGCATTAAGTAAATATGACTGCGTGTACCACCGGTGGTACACATGGCACGGAACGTGTTAAGTGATGGAGCTTCAAATTTTATACTTCGACGTTGACAATGAAATTTAATTTCTTGATAGTTAGTAGTTAAATATGTATCATCGTGATCTAATCATGCTCGAGTTTCGAATTTCACTTGGAAATCTCAGAAACCAGTATAATAACTGGTAACTGAGATTTTGTAACTTGCTTCTGATACATAGAATCCGCACAACACATACAAACACACGTGTAGAATAATTTCTTTTTTTTTTTTTTTTCATTCATATGAAAATATATATACGTAATCAATTCTCGAGGAGAATCACAAGTACTTTTGATACATTAGTGAATTGCAGAATAATGGTAAAACGTAATAAAATGTAATAACAACTACTCGTTTAAAGCTTTTCAAAGTTTGTTAGTAGATCAAAATTGACACGTGTTACACGTGGATTAAGAAAGTGTGATTGTTCCAGGTATTTACGATATGCCGACGCTCCTGCCGCAAATGATGGGCTTCGGCAGCTACTTCTTGCAAACGTCCTTGGGCAAGATCTTAAATCAGCTACATTCCAAGAGATTGGACGAGGTAGCCGAGCAAGTCGAGACTCACCGGGAGCTTATGAGCCCGTCGACGGCGGACTCTGAGGGCACCGAAGGCACCGAAGGCAAAGAATCACCGGCGCCCACCGATCCGCAAGGCCTCGACGCGGTTCGACGTATCCTCGAAACGGTGAACACCTCCGTCACGAAGCAGTTACTCGAGGCGAACGTGAGGAAACTGTCCACCTCGCCGGCAACGATGAAACGAGAGTTCGACGAGGATTATCAAGTAAGATGATCATTTGTGCAAATTCAGGCATCACGAGCATAGTCCACTCTAATGCTGCAGAATTGAGGAAAATTATTGCTTCTTACTGGCCTGCCTCGTTAGTGAGAGAGTGAAGAAGTGACAAATCAGAAATTATTAGCACCATAGACGTATTGAAGGAATGCCCCTTGCGTGAGGAAGCACAAAGCAAAGATTGCAGATTCGTCCGATTATTGTAAAATAATAATAATTGTAAAACTTGCGAAATTGTCAATTTAATGATATTTAGTTAATTGGCCAGATAGTTAAGATACGTTTCACGACGAAGAAACCAAAACTTATGACAATATTATTAGTCATCTAATTCGATCGTGTTTGTGATTGTGGCGGAAAGAAGTTTGGATCATAAACATTGATTTATCATCGAACTTTTCACGATTCTGTTGGCCACGTGGTTCTTTGCCTCTTAATGCTGATTGACATGTCGTAAACTTGTTAGGCGAGTGTCATAAACAGTTCAAATATAACGCTGATTGGGCCACTACTCTATAAGCAGCTTTGGAATAGGCTCGTCCCAAGGTTATATAAAAGTCATGTAAATGCGACATGTAAATTTTCTTAAACATATTAATATATAGGGCAGAAGATTACAACTAAAAAATGACGTAAAATTATAACTACTGCGGTGATGAAATTTCTTTCTCAAGTTAAATATAAATCCTCTTAATATCTTCTTTTCTAACAATTCTAAAACGCCATTGAATGTATATCAGGGCTTAGTCAGTGAAATTTTCAATTATCCGAGCTAATTGGGACAAATTATCCAATCCGTTTGGCCTGAAAGAATCAAATCATTGTGATCATGTCAATAAATAAAAAATTAAGAAATTGAACATTTTTCAACTATGGATGTGTAAAAGAATCCAAGCATAATCTAACAATCAGTAGATGCTTTAAAACGTCTATCATCTCTTAACCTGGTGCAATTCAAAAGCAAATATTCATTTGTTATACCCGAGTTATTTTGAAAATTTAATTCACCAGCTGCCAATATAAATTGTCTAACATTGTATTCCAAGACAAGAGCATCAGAATGCCATACTTTTTTCCTTCAACATTCAACAGTATAAATGGAATCCGTGCGTAAGCAGTTCACTTGGACGAGGGCATTTGATCCCAAAATATAAACATCACTCGAGATATAGTTTTAAACGTATGTATTCATAATTAGGCTATACTCGGATAATTCTAATAATAGACACCTCGTATAATCGAATCGCTCTACTTATATACCGCGATCTTTGATCGCTGATGGAATTCTTGAATCACCGTGGTCGATGAAATTGTGAAAAATTTCGGTAATCAATTGGTGACTAACATGATGCAGGATCAAGACAGCGAGATGTCCAGCGAGATGGCACATTATCCAGACTGGTCGGCATCGACGGATCAATATGACTCGCAGAGCGAAGGCTTGGCGGCGAAACTCGAGGACGTGAATCAGCCCAGCGCGAAATCGGGGTACAAGAGAAAAACGGAGGACAGCTCGGAGGCGGACTCGGAGGACGAGGAGGATGGCACACAAACGCACAATGACAACGGAAGGAGAGTCAGGGCTAGATCGTTAATAGACGACGAACAATTGGCCGTTCTCAAGGGTTACTATGCCATTAATCCTCGACCCAAGAAAGAGGAGATCATCATGATCGCCAACTATATCAACTTTCCTACTCGCGTAGTACAGGTATGAAATTAATCCTGTCCAATTAATCTGTTTTCCTTGTTGATCCTTATCAAGTAACATTTAACGAGCAACGATAAATCTCTGATCTACTGATTTTTAACAACTTCTTTCCCAAATTAATGGTGTTTATGATGCATAAAAATTGTAATTCTGTAGTAATTGTATGAAATTGACTGAGCACCTGAGTGATTGCAATTTCATATAAAAGAAGAGATGTAACATATAGTACGTGTAAATTAAATATGACAAATAACATTATACTATATATAAGCAGGCAATCATTTAAAATTTATCGTCAATGAATACATTGTTTAATGTTCAGGTTTGGTTTCAAAATTCCCGAGCGAGGGACCGACGAGAATCGAAGATACCACCTCTAGTACCATTGGCAAATCCAACCAGTCAGACCGCGTACGAACAGCCATTAGATTTGTCGAAGAAAGAGGCACTCACGGACTCGGCGTGCAAAGACAATGAAACTGTCTGTGTGAAGTTCACGTCGTCGTCCCCCGTTGAACAGAAGGACGACAATGCACCGTCGCATAATCAAGACGCGGATGATCTGGAAGATTCGCCGCTCGTCATCGACGAGGAGGAGACCACCGATTCTGTTGAAACGAAACGTACGGCCCCGAATGGGGGAGAAATTATTCCAAAGGTACTCCTAATTGTATTTCGCGCGTGGAAAATTGAAACATGCAAAAATTCTATTTAATTCTGATCTAATTATCTACTTACGATCCAAAAATAAATGAACGTATAAAAAACAAGGAATAAGAAGCCTGCTGTAATATCGAATGCTGTACGAAGTGTATTACGAGATTCTGTATTTGCAGGGTCAACCTCAGACAAACGTAAAGAACGAAAGTGAAAACGCGAGACAGCCAGAAGCTTCGCCAGCGGCGGAAATCGAGCAGGGTGTCTACTTCTGTGATCGGTGTGACAAAACATTCTCCAAGCACAGTTCCCTAGCAAGACACAAATACGAACATTCCGGTATGCAATTGCTAAATAACAACTACCAATGATGATATGTTTGGGCGAAATAATTATCAGAAGCCAAACTGAGTGATAGAATTTACAGATACATAATTAATATCCATTTAGAAAAGAAAAAAAAAAAAAGAAATACAAAGAATTAATTTAACAAAATTTACTCATCACAAGTTCAAAGATAATTTTAAATTTAAAATAGTTTTTTCCTATTGACATTTATCTCTGCATTTGAATCGATCGGTATAGCTTCTGATGGTTCCAAACGTGAATAATCAGATAAATTCGTACAATGTAGACGATATAGTGAGATCGAATGAATGTCCACAGGGCAAAGGCCGTACAAATGCGTGGAGTGCCCAAGGGCGTTCAAACATAAGCATCATCTGACCGAACACAAGCGACTGCACAGCGGCGAAAAGCCCTTTCAGTGCTCCAAGTGCCTCAAGCGCTTCTCTCACTCCGGCTCCTACAGCCAACACATGAATCATCGTTACTCTTACTGCAAGCCGTATAGAGAATAGAAGTATTCCCGCTAGTTAAAAACGAAGACTCTCTCGCTGAATTAGCTAAGTACGAAACGGTCCTTTCTTCCTTCCACGACACGGGACTAAGCATTTAGAAAAAAAGAAGAAAAAAAAAAAAAGAGTAAAACAAAACAAACTTCGAAGCTAATCTATCGCGCGTAAAGAAAGAAACGCGTGGGAACCAGATTAGAAGAACTTAACGACGAATATTTGCAAATCGCGATCTCGCACACGTATTTTACACCTGCGGAGAAAGGCTTGCGTGAAACACAGCAAGTAACAATTGGAGCCTAAAAAGTGTATTTAGTTGGAGAAGGAAACGCGTGTTGATCGAGAAGGGAAAAGAGGAAACTGTGCGATTTGGAAGGAAGTCAAGAGAGAAGAACAATAAGAAGATCGAACGACGCGAATGAGATTCGACAATCGCGACACTGCTCGTAGAAGCAGCAGCAGCAAATCGTCAAGTGTCACGTGAGTTTCTTCTCGAGTTCGTTTTTGCGCTGAATCAAAGATTTAAAAAGAAAAGGAAGATGAAAGAAGGAAGCAGAAAACTAAAAAAATAAAATAAAAAAAAAAAAAAAGGAACGAATTCGCAACGGCCATCGGTCGACGAATTGAAAAAAAAAGAAAAAAAAAAAAAAGAAAAAAAGAAACCAAACAATACGCAACGGTACCAAAAATGCATAATGCAATAATCTATTATATATTATATATAATATACATAATATTTTAGTATTTTTATTAACAAGATTATTATATATACCATGACAATAATAAGGAAACTAATTAACGTACAAATTTGTTAGCCACGTTCGCACGGGGCACGCGATGTAATTCAGTCGCGACGCGCAAATTGGCGAAGGGATATGATGAAGCGATCTCAAAGAGTTTCATTTTTTAACTGAACTTGCGCGTATGCAATTGGATATCTCGTAATGAACGAAGTAAAGTTTGAAACGATACTATAACTATTATTACGAAACAAACGATGTTCGACTATCGCAGGGATAACTTGCTGGATATTTTTTACCGAGTAATTAATTTACAAGTGAATGAAAAGAAAAGAAGATCAAAAAGATACGATGAAAATACAGCGTTTCATTTCTGGGTGATCAGTCGAATGATACTGGGCCTAGCCTCAATTCCTTCGTTCACTAGTGCTTTCGGACAATATACGAAATTCGAAACATATTAAGAATTCAGACTATAAAACGTTTGTAAATGTAATTGGAAAGGACGAAATAAGAAAAAAAAGAAAAGAAGAAGAGGGATAAGTGCGCGCGTGTAATTAGATAAAAGCGAAAACCAAAGGAAAATGGTTGGAGAAGGTTGAAGCACCAGACGAGAAAAGGATGCATTTGAATTTAAACCGCCAAACTGAGAGAGCTTAAAACGCAAATTCCGATGAATTGATCGTTGAGAACGGAGGCCTATTTTCTTCGTCGAGTGTTATTTTCAAGCTCGATGGAAGTTCAGCCAAGTTACAATTTATTATAGCGTCAAGGTGTTTCTGGGCCTTATCTATCGGTGATCGATGCCATAATGAGTAACCTTGTGTACTTACTTTAAAAACCGAATCGCAACAGTCGTATATTTCCGTAATGTTACGTGAGAGATTCATATATTTAAAAGTCTCCCCCCCCTTTTTTTTTCTTTTTCTTTTTTAACAGATCTCACGTTAGTTTTGTACCGATTGTATATAAATTAGCTTTTAACTCTCGGCTATTAACACTGGAACTACCAAATCCATCAAATATATCCGTTTGTACTTTTCCTTTTCTTTTTATAATTACTGAAATAGAAAATATTTTATAGACCTCTGTTTTGTTACTGCGCTACTATTTTAATTAGAATTATTTATATATAGCGTATCTACGTGTACATTAGAGGATGGTTGTTCCACTGTTAATTGTCATAATTATTTAAGTATTCTGTACATTGTTTTCTCTTTTTGTAACTTGAAATTCGCGTTGTTTTCCCGAATTGCTCAGACAATTGCGGTAAGTTAAGCTTTTAAACAATGCATATTTTTCATTTAATTTTAATTTTCGAGTTAATTAATATTTGAATCTCCGCGTATCATCAATTCTCACCACGAAAAGGAAAAAAAAAAAGAAACGAACGTTTCACGTTATAGAAAAATTGAAGCAAAAAGAAAAAAGAAAAAGATCTATGCCTTAGACATTCCGTGAGAATCAACGCGCTGTCGATGCTTCTCTTTTAGTTGTTCATAGATCACGAAGCATCACCATGGCCTCTCGTACTTCTTGTCGAGCTCGCGAGGTCATCGTTTTCGATGGAACCCGCCGAGCTGATCACACGTTTGTTTCCGACGCCTGAAAGGGAAATGGCATCGAGAACCTCGCAATAAAAAAGAAAAAAAAAAAGAAAAAAACAAAGGAAAAGAAGAAAAATGAAAGACGAGATACAAAAGAGAAAGAAAAAAAAGAAAAGAAAATAAAAGAAAAATCCCTTCACCGAGATCCGGGCCCCGATCATAATCTCTAAGTATAATATTAAAATGCTTCCAAATACTGTACTATTGAAACAGAAAAAAAAAAAAAATATTACACAATTTTTATGATTTTATTCGTTCGGACGCGTAGGTAAGCGGTATATATATATATATATATATATAAATATATATATAATCTACAGATCGATAATACTCGAGAATTGTATTTTATAACGGTTTATGCCTCTTTTTATTTACACGTACCACGAGTGACAAGTGATATATATATATTATATTATATAAATATATATATTGTTATTGATAAAAGAAATTGATAAAAAGAAACGACGACTTATACGGGGATATACGGCAGAAAGAAAGAAAGAGTGTAAGAGTTTAAAGAGTCGCGCCAAAAGAGTAGTGTCGTGTTCGGCCGAGCAGGGCGCCACCGTTGCATTTCCTCCGCGTCTAGAAGCTTCGGTTATCCGCGACAGGCATCGTGTCCGTACTATGAGAGAAAGAAAATGGAAAAAA